GAGGAAACAATCCTTTGTTGGCACGCCCAGTGGGACAACCAGCAGGATGTATCAGTTCCAGTTCACAAATCCTTTGTTCATACATTCAGAGGCGTCTGGAGCCATACCACCGAGAAAGAGCAAAGATAAAGAGCTTCAGCCAGCCCAGGCTGAACATGCAGATGACAATCTAGTTTACTTAGAGGGTGAGAATGATCCAATTGTTCATCCTTTCTTATAACCATTCGTGGAGCGATCTTATGGAAATCCAATTTTCAAAGAAAGGGATGCAGACCGTGGGGGTGACTTTGCTTAATCAAGTAATGTGTTTAGAGGTATGACTGAACGTCTGGATTTAGCATTCAAAGAATAGAACCAGGCTATGCGAAGACTTGTTGACAGTCAAGCAGAATCCTCCAAACGTCAGGAAGAGTTAATTAGATAATGTATAGAAGAGATGAGACGGGTCTTTGAAGAAGGCACTAGGGTGATGCGAGAAACTGGGGAAAAAAGTCACAGAACACTGCAGGCTGTTTCAGAACAAGTGGTTGAGCAAGTGCGACAGCCCAGACCTGAGATCCTTCCTCCAGTCGTTGAAATGCCCAGACAGATTCAGGAAGCCCCAATCCTAGCACTCGGGGGGCAAGGGAATCAGCCTCATCCCAATATTCAACAACAGAATTTTTTCATTGGTGAAAGGCAAAGACAACACGAATTGATGGAGGCTGCTACTCATGTTGCAGACCATGGCCATCAACCTCAGCATAAGTATATTCTTCCAGCTAGGAAGGGAAATGTGGGTCCTCATTATCAACCTTGTCCAAGGGACTTTTTCCAGCCACAAGTTCCTCCAGCCCAGCCGGTATGACGTGGTCTGCAGAATCAACCAGTTTAATTCTTCAATAGAGACCATGGGCCAGCCTTGAGGCCATTGGAAAAGATTGATAAGGGTATCTTGAAATTTCCAGACAAAGCGAAGGAAACCATGGGAGTGGATGCAGACCCTTTTCCAGCTGTGTCTGTCGGCGTGAATGTTGCAGACCTCAGGAGTGTTGCCAAAAATCGTAGTCTGCCTTATGCTCGAAGGAACCTTGCTGCTGAAGACTTGAGGTGGGTGCTTGAGGCACAGAGATCCAGACATAGCAGGAGCGTCAGGTCAGACCAACAGAGACTCGGGGGGCAAGGAAGGATCACTATGACCAAGAACTTCAGTCCAGAAGGTGCCAGACGTTACTCAACTGGTACCAGATCTCCGAGGATGGTCAAACCGCCACTTAAGTCACCTTTTAGACAGTGGGAGAAAGTCAGTCATCCTAAGTTTCCAGCCCAGAATCCCAGAACCTTGAGGCGTAGACTGCAACGCAAGAGGGCTGAAAAGCGAAAAAGGCAACAGCAGCAGATAGAGGTTGAGGGAAGTTCATCTCGCAGACCACGCCAACCTACAAAAAGGAACATGGTGTGGGTGAGAAAAGAGAAAAAGGAGGCTATAACCCAGGATCTGCTAAAGGGGAATGACCAATCTCCAGCCTCTCCAAAGGTGGCGTCTGTCATTGTGAGTCCAGACGGAGTTTTGAAAGCAACTTTTGAAGCACAAGAACAGTCTAGGAATTGTGGAGCTGAATCAAAAGAAGATGGCACTATTCATTTTGGGGAATTCTCAGTGAATTTGTCATGTCTGGTGCTGACATTACCCTTGGTTTTCCAAGCCAAGAAGGAGGAGGAACCAATCGTCTGTGAGTTCCCAGAACAGACAGAAAAAGAGGTAATCGTTGTTCCAGCTCAGGATGATGAAGAGGAGGACATGGCTGACAAAATTGTGTTTGAAAAACCAGAAGAAAAGATGGCCAAACACATTAGGCCACTTTATATCAATGCTCACATGGATGGGACTCCAATCAGCCGTGTCTTGGTGGATAATGGGGTTGCAGTCAATGTCCTTCCAACTTGCATGCTCTACAAAATAGGCAAGTCTCTTGATGATTTAGTGCATACTGAGGTTACCATTGGTGATTTTACAGGAGGGGTGAATCGTTTAAGGGGTGTGCTACCTGTTGAATTAACAGTGGGAAATAGGACACTGATGTCTGCGTTTTTTGTGGTGGATACTGTTGCTACTTACAATGCACTTTTGGGGCGTGACTGGATTCATTCAAGTTGGTGTGCCGAAAATGGAGGAACAGTAGCGAAGATCATGGAGAAGATCATGGAGGAGGTTACCAGCATTGAAGGGAACAAAAACAGAGAGAAGAGAACAGTTCAAGGCCTACCCAACACACACACAGACTGCCCAGAGCATGTTTTTCAGCTTTCAAACTGCATTTTCCAGATTTCAGCAATAGTTTCTAGATTTCCCAGATTTTCCAGATTAGTTCA